CTACATGGCAGGATTTCTAACCCCCCCCCCCCCGAGATCTCTACCACTCTTTACAGTACACCGCGGCCTAACCAGAAGATTCCTAAACCAAAGTTTTACAGAGAAAAGTAGCAGGCCTCACCAAACTTTTCTTCAAGATTCAACCTGCAGGCTGGATTTTAATTTTCCCGAACACCGTCTAGGTTTGGTGGCCAAATGATTTTATCCATATGAAAACGTGTTTAATCTTTGTGTATCATTTACCATTGACTGTTTTTGCGGTGATTTCGATCAAGTCCGGTTGGGTATTTGCTTTCCGAAACAAACCCAGCTGCGACCAAGCCTCCTAGCCAACCTGAACGTCGGCTGTAAGCAGCTGCATGCAGAATATTTTGGAAATGGAATTTTATGCATTCCCCAGTTTCCATGACCCAATGGTAATCTATTCTGCATTAGACCGATAAACCACCATAAGTTTCGCCAGAAGTGATCAAGCAATTCAAAACTGAACATTTAAGTGTCTAATAATTTGAGAACAAATGTTGTGCTACAAACCAGACCGATCCATTTCTTCCATTCGGATTCCTAGGCTTGTTGCACGTACGATTGTCCATTCCGACAACCATGTAGCAAACATGGAGATTTTCAACAAAGCATTCACTCCATCCGAGTGTTTTGTTGGCGCTGGTGGTTCAGTAAAATAGATATGAGCCATAAGAGCGTTTCCACTAGAATAAATGAGCCAGATAGCACGGTAATAATAGATATGGTAGCTCAGGGTACGTTATTTTTCGCGGGAAGGCTGGATGGAGATCCACCTCAGGCATGCAAACCGTCGTTCTTCGTGGTTCCTTGCGCCTGCACAGAACGCTTCCAAAAGGGTCTTCGACTTGTGTTGCCTAACGATGTAATCAAGTTACGAGCAAGGTCAAACATATGAATTATGTCCCTGATCGGTCATAGGTGGACACAATCAGCTGCACTCGAATTGAATGTTTCTTAAGTCGTACGGCTCTTTTGATAGTATCAATCGATGGAAATAAGTTGGTCGCATGATGGGGAAAGGAAACATATTTCCTCATTACCATTTAAAACTGATCTGAGTATAAAATTTGAACCGCCATAGGTGTGTCCTCTTAGCATACACTCGTATCTTTGATTCGGCTTGCTGTTCGTGGATGTAACTCTGTACGAAGCAACCACTAACACTATTCGCAATAGCGACGACGTACAGTGTAACCGGCTAACAATTTCCTAAGCGAATTTCGGTTCTATAGAGCCTGATTCCACCCATCAGATATATATCGCGCATACTGTATAACTGATGGTTTTACACCGTTCATAGCGCAACTATGTTGTTGTATAATGCAAGATTTGCAAGTTTTTCCATAAGGGATGGCAGTTTGCGAATTTGGATGTCAATTTTATGCTTGCTACCTGGCGCACATTGCAATGCATACTGTTCATCCGATTTGTCCACAGTAGTTTGGAATTTGAATGTATCTGTCAAGCAATTCAATCAGTCTGCAAACCAACCATCTCATCTGTTTGACCTTATTATCCTTCGATTTACCTTTAATCAGCACCCTTGATTCTCGGCTTCAATGGCCATCAGTGGCTGAGGATACAATTCGGGCCTTTCCCCGTTCGATCACTTTCAGAAGAACTATTGATTCGATTTCGAACTAGGCAGCTTCAAGGGCTATTATTCACCACGTACAATCCATCATCTGCTGCTAGCGATTGTTTCGAAGTGCGAATTGACTCGGGTCAGCTGCTCGTAATTTATGACTTTGGAGAGGAGAGAAAGGTGAGATTATGTGGATATTTCCTAAGTCAGACAAGTGCATGTTGTTTCGAGAGGAAGCTGGTGTTCGATGCTGGCAGTAAATGCTGTAAACAATGTCGTTGAATTGAGATGCTCAATATATTATTGACGAGCACACTTCGCAAGTGTATAGCATCAAATATGACGATATTTATCAATGGGATGTCATCTGCCTTGCAAGCTGTCAACCATCCTGCCATGCATGAATATTGCAAGACATCAGATATGTGCAAACTAATGGTGAACCTATTCAACTTGAGGAAGTTATGGAGGTCGACACTTGGCAGGTTCGAACACCATGCGCCTGTGCTGACAGTGAGTTAGAGTTCCGGTGGGCTCAAGGACATCACTGAAAAGATTAAAATGTGGCTAGAACACCATCTTACCTAACACTTCTTTTAGATATTGTGTTCAGGTTGAAAAATCATTTTTAGTTAATAGACAAAGTTATTGTGTCTGCATTTACTTCCTGATATCAACAAGGGAGGAATCAGTCATTCATAATGTTACCCCAGAAGCAGTTTCATAACTACTGAACAAAAGCCGTGAAAACAAGTAACTCTATTCCGTACAGTGTCTTTCCAAGACATTTGACTTACAAAATAAATAAATACAGGCTCAGTGAGTATACTACAAGATTTCTCCAAGAAAGAACTCCTTGAACCTGGACTGCTCTTGATAAAAGTTCATCGTGGGGATTCACTGTCAGAATAGAGCGACCACCTACTTTGGGTATTACCATTTTTTAATTATTCTGCCCCCGAAGACTGGCCAAAAATTTGAGCACTTGTATGGGATACGTGAACAGACACACTGATTTGATTACTGCATGGTATTTTGAACAACTGAATTGGTGCTCACAACTCACTGCTGACCTTATTTCTTAAGGGTCTGGAACCCAGTTAGTCTGACAAACGGTGGTCACGCATTCAGAAACAGATATTCATATTGACCACTCACAGAAAATCACTGTCAGAGGAAGAACACTAGTAAGTAAGCCTTCAGGTCCTGGTAATTTTGAACTGTCTAAATATACAGCTCTTGCCGTAGAGTCTATTTAGGATTGTGGATCAAAACACCGTGTTGCAACCTTGACTGTGATTCTGGGAAACCGTGATCTCAGGAAGAAAGGAGGATGGTACGTGCTTCATAGTTAATGGCACTCTCCAGTTTATTTCAAACCAATTTTTTTTTCTGCAGCTGAAGTGAATACCAATATTTTTGACTGTCGTTATATCTGAACAAAATGACGACCGAAGTTCTTTTCAAGAAGTTTCAAAGAAGATCGAAATTTTCTCAGAGAAATGCTGCCCTAGGACTGAGGAAAACTTTTTTCGATGACAAACAGTAGTGGCCTCACAACAGCACTAGTCCTTACCGCACTGCCATAGTCTGCGCAGTCCCATTACCCATTGTGCTATACTGAGCAGTGTGCTTCCAACATCCACAGTACATTTTATACCACATTGATCAATAGATAGAGGCATAACTGACACAGTCCCTGGACCTCCTGGTGGGGAATTGGAATAAATGATGCACAATCCCATAGAGGAAACTACTCACAAAGTCGCTGAAAATTCTTCGACAGCCCACGACCAGTTTCGCCCTACTTGGGGCTCATAAATTAGGCGCAGTCCCCGATACTCCGTCAAGCTTATGTTCTACCTGAACCCAAATTGAACTGTTTTCGAGAAATACACTCATTTGAAAATCAATTTGATTTTCAGGAGAAACTCAAGTGAAACTCTCGTTTATGAGATTCTACAACTGATTGTGCTGCACACAGGCAGCCTCATGTTTCAGTTAGCACGATTTTCGAGCTAGTGCAAACGGCGTGCACATAGGCGCCTAACAGTCTTGATGTCCCTTGAACGCACGAATGCATTCGACTGAAACAGTTCTGTTCGTTCTTTCCAACATAGCTGTGCAAAAAGATACGCCTCAGACATTACTAATCATGATGCACTATTTTGGTTCACACAATATTTGGTGTGTGTGAGTGCTTGGAGTGGTGTCCAAAAGTATTCGAAAGGAAGCTGTGTCCCACAAGAATGTCCGCTCTCCATTTAGTTGTGTTTCATTAAATAATGAGGTGAACCAAGCTATTCCCCCGAATATTTGATTTTCAGATCTCTCCGATTGAAAACCTTGTCTAACTGAAGTAATAAGACGACTTTGATCTCTTTTTTGAATGAGGGCAGGAGGGAAAATCATAACTTGAAACAGTGGCCTAGGTCATTCGGGTGTTTGAGCTCAGGTCATTTATGTCAGCCAGCATTATATTCTTAAGTTTTGCCTAAATGCGAATTGCCTAACCTCGTTAATAGATCACCTGCTAAATTATCAGGTATCCCCCCGTATTTATGATGGGTTTGCCAGTCAGCCAATATGGCGCCACGTAAAATATTTTTTGCCTGAAGACATTTAGCGGACCAGTAATCCAACCATTACCGAATAGGAGCTACTCATAATATATTAAGGCTGCGTTTGCACACCACTTTCAGTGCATCTGTGCAGGTGGCTGCACTTAAGGACCACTAACCGTGGTCTTTGCTCAAACTATTTCACTTTGATGCTCTAGAGTAATTTCTAAGCAATATTTTGTTTTTGTGGTTAATGGCGCTCTGTTTCTATGCGTGGGAGTGTTGGCTGAACTTTATGCGAATTTTCGAATCAAAACTGAGTGGAAAACAGCGGCTAAATCAGGAAGATGCTATGACTGCTGGGGCATCGCAGTCATCCTGGCAACAGTATAATACTGAAAAGTCTAATGAATAGTTGATATTTCATCTTGGGAACCCTCCTAATTGTAAGAGTCTCCATAGGGTTGTCTTAGACGGCTTTATATTTTGACGGATTTGCAAACCCACCAGAGTTTCATATAATCGAACCAGCCGCAACCCCCGTTGCACATCCTGTGTACCATCTCTACAAATAATATTCACGAATACTACCACGTACCTGGCATTCTGTCAGCTTTCAACTGCCAAGCACCAGCTCTCTTAATATGTATTTTGCATCGTTTTAACAATTTCAATTATGCGGGTTCTTTTTTTGTTTACTCTGACAGTTGTATGTGTATGAACCTATCAAAGGGACTTGATTAGAAATGGCTGGAAAACACTCAGCACATAAGCAGCAGCAGGAAAGCCCATAAAACTATATTATATTCTAAACCTTGCAAACGAGAACAACCTGAGTCCGGTTTTAAATTGTCTGTTTTTTTACCCAAAGAATGAGCAGATCAGCAGAAGCAACCCAAGACGTCTAAACCATCTCGTCATGATACTCGTATGTAATATGGATTATTATACCACGCGTAAAACGTTTTCAATGCTGTCTGTAAACATCGCAATATACTAATTCGAGATGTGGAATCCAAGTGATATGGAACACGGGCGGTTTCAAAGTTTAAACTAGTCTTCCCCAGATGAAAAATATCACCAGAATTGCAGGTGACAACAATGTGAAGCGCTTCACTACAAGTAATTTTTCATCCACCATCCTGTTGCTTACTTCTCGACCACTTTTTAGTATCCACGAATTTACCTGTGATGCATCCGAATACAAATTGTTGGAGGCATATTCATTTTATCAAAATTTCATTGATTTGTTTATGTTCCGCTAAAAGCTGATGATAATTCTTGGATCACAAACACACATGTCTACCATTGACTTTTATCTGTTTAACAGAAATATACAAGTGCACAATTCGTTGCGGATCACCGTTGGCACACATTGCGACTGAGTCGAAGGGACCGTTATCTGAATTTTTCCGTAGACAATTATTTTCAAATTTATGGTGAGCGTCAAAACGTATATACAACAATCTCTAGTGCACTGTTTTTCCAAGTCCCTCGGGGCATACAAAATAACTAGTTATGATTTGCCTTGTCTCTGGTTGTATTGCTACTCGTTAATTCAGAACGAGCTTTAATACCTGTCGTTCATTTACCCGCGTTTTTCACACAGTGTGCATGAATCGGCGCTGAGAGTTTTGAAGAACGACGATTGTAAGTCGTTGGCAGCGGAAGCGTTCCGACTGTAATCAACAAACCACGATTGCATATTCGATGTTATTGTGCAGAACGAAGTTTGAAACTCATAATGCGCCCCATGGCCAACCCAATAACTTTTATCTAAGTCTTTACAAAGTTATTCCTGGTTAAATAAGATCTAGGATCTCTACAGCCTTGATAATACTAAGAATTTTTCAAACCCAGTTTACTCGGTATCGTTTACGTCGATTTCGGTGCCCCTCAGTTATTACAAGTCAGCGCCATATAAGTGTTAATATTCAATGCAACCAAGCGAATAATGGAGGACATGAGTTAGCTTGGTAAGTCCAACAGAAAAAATTGTTTTTCGGATTACTGAAAGTTGTTAGTGGAGAAGGAAAATACAGAACCGGATATTTTCAGGGAATTTTCTCTTAGATATCCACTATGGAGCATGTTATAATTCGATACCTAAATCGTAAGAAGCAACTGTCAAAGGTAACTTAACCGCAGATCGAATGCATAAATTTGGCCCGTTTCTGCATCCCCAGCTAAAGAGATCAGAATCAGATCCAGAATCAAGCTGGTGAAATGTTTAAGTTATTTGACCGAAGTTAAATTATGCAATTGTGCAATTCATTAAGGCAACACAAGACTGATTAATGTTGTTGAAAGTCTTTATTATTGATTCGCAAATTTCTACAAAGATAGTTACAAATCACATATATGACTGATCTGATTCACAAATTATCACGGAGTAGGAAAGGCAAAGGCATAAAAAGGATAGTGATAGAAGTTCGTTTTCTAAGTGGAAAATCACGGCTAGGCTGAATGGGAAAGTGTGATACAAATGAACAGACGTGCATGTCATGTGTAAAGAGTTAATAAGGTTTCATGTAACTGGGATAGCAGTCAAATCCCGATTAAATAGAAGTTTGCAATGTATCTGTTTTCTTCAGCCACATACTTGTCAACTCACTGCTTTTGGCCGAAATATTTTAATTATTCTGAGCATCCTTGATTCTCATTATGAAAATAGGTTATTTCTACAAGTTTTTTTCGTTGACGGTCTGAGGTACATTTATTTGTCCTCGGTCAACGAGGCCTTGTATATTTTAGCCTTTGCTGCTGTACAACGATACCATCAAAGTGAGTGTACAGATCTGCCCAGATTTGCTTTCCGTGGACTTCAAGCCAGATGATTCCACCAGCCCCTTTTAGGATAGCATTATCAGTTGGGCTCCAACCAACCAATTACGTTCGTTCATTGAACTAATACTTGTCAATGTAAGTGCATAATATACACAGAAATTATTGATGGTAAGCTACTTTGGGAACATCATAACTAGCAGAAGCGAACCCCAAAGAGACCATCATACCCTTCCGTCATTTTGCCTGTCGATAAAATGAATGGTTAAATGAACTGAGGGTTCGGTTGGGTAATAGGAATGTTTTATCCCGCTAGATCATTCTCCGATTCTTGGAGCCTTTGGTGAGGTAAACTTTGTTTCTACTGAGGGGCGGAATCGGGGTCAGGCTGAAGATTCATTCACACTGACATAGCCTCAAATCAGGAATATTTGTCGTAATTAGATATCTCCATCCATGAACCTCGACAAATTTCAATAGGACTGTGGTTGCCTGTCCCTATGGCTGATTTCCAAAACTCAGAAATGGTGTTTCCCTTCCTGATAGTTGCTTGTGCTGCTTCCCCAATAAAATCTTTTTATGCTTTCAAAGATTCTGCAGTATATTAGGGTCGGAATTACTGACAGCTTTTGAGAGAAGGAACTTCATACCCCATCACAGTAACTGTGCCATCAATTATCATTTTGCAAGAGATGTTACCCGTGTAACGGTGGATACTACTGATGGAGCATGCGTGTAGTATGTTTTCTCGTAAATTCGTTTGCGTCTCTTAAAAGGTGACATCTGTTACAGAATTTGTGGGGTCGCTTTGTAGCATTTGCATGCATTTGAGAAACAGTCAATGAGTATCATGGAAGGTTCGGGAAGACGCGCTCAATGCGAAGATGGATGTTCAATTTTTGTAAACAAGATGCACATGAAAACTTTGCTTCCCTGTTTAATAGTCTGTAACTGTTTAGTTAGTATTTTCTAATAAAAAACCCCGCAGCAAAGTCCTTCTTCCTTTTCGCCCGTAGTGTGAAAAAACATTACCCATTACAAAAAATAACTATTTCCACAACTTTTTCAAAGCTGCCTGCCAAACCTTGTTGGCAAAGACTGCCTTGATAGACTGAAAAACCATGGTTGGTACATCCGCCGAGCTAAGTGATATTTTGGCGGGATATAATCCAGTGTTACAAAAATGCTTTATTTCATTAATATACTGAAGTCACGTAGCCCACAGTGACCAAAGCCGCATGCATTACGAAAAATATGCTGCCAAATTACGTGGTACACGAAAAGTGATTAATGATCATTTGAATGCCTCACTGTACAAAATATGGTGAACGAGTGCGTGTTTTCTGTTGGAATCACAAAATAGTTACCAACAAGCTCGTGATGGCTAACGTAATAATGTTGCTTTTATATTCCGACTTCGTGTAGAACAACTGTCCTGTGGTGACAGGCGGACCCATGTGGTGAAAGTAAAATCTACTTTACAACAAAGACATGCCATTAGCACGTTAGGTCAAAATTGAGAAGCCCTTCCAATATGAAATGAAAAACATATCCTATTAATGTGAAACACATAGAGTGTAAACCATGCATTCCTTACCCCATACGGGTCACTGTCTTAGGGATTTAATTTGATTGCTTATTCTCAAGGGTCATTTCATCCCGTTATTACTTTAAAAGACATTCCAAGAGATCGTCGTTTTCTATCTCACAAACACATCATCCTTGGACGGTTGGAACCCCTGGCGTATCACACAGCGACTGAGACCTTCCCAATGACTTCTTCATATAGACCAGATCCAAGTATACTACGGTCCGTTTTCATTGGCCACATCATGAAATTCATCTTCAACGGTGTCGATTTCCTTCATGTATCGAAGCAGTTGCTCAACCTGCCCGAATACTCACTGTGGAAACGCCGCCTGGAAATAACTGCAACGGAAGGTGTCCAAAATCCGTTCATTGAATATCCCGTCTCCTTGGCCTCACAAAGTTCGTATGTGGCGGTCGATCTACCAGACGGCCGAAGTGGATTTTCTCTTCAGTTTTGGGTCAAAACTGATAAAGTAAGCCAATTTTTCTGACTGAACCAAGACTAACGCATTAATATTTCGACTGTTCGTTGTACATGAACGATTGAGGGCATAAGTATTTGCTATCGTATGGATTTCATGGCGCCCTGTTAGATGAAAAGGATAATTTATGGGTTCGGAATTTTTTGGAGTTATTTCCTCCGCAGAGTTGGGCAGGCGTACGGTGATGTGTGGGTTTGCCGTAAATCTCATGGTCTGAATATTTTCGAAAACGCTTATTCTGGCCAGAATAATTAGAGTTAGGAGTTTAGCATTTAGATCAATCATTCTTTGCTGGAAAAAAGTTTAGGATGCAATGCAACCCGTGAACCGTTAGATTGTATTTCATAAATTGTAGCTTTACAAATTTATTTCAACTGTAGTGCTGCAACGAACACCTCACCGACTGTATTTTTTGTTCCGTTGTACAAAAGAAAATTTAGCCAAAAGTTTTCGACCTGTAAGACCCCATGGTTTACATCCTTTTCCAAGGTCGGACTCCATAATTCACCCCTAATTTTATACAATTATTTCACTGTTTAAAAAGAATGAAATTCGGCCATCAGAAAAACACTGATTTATTGGCAATGCGAATTTTGTGTTGCTGCAGTTTCTGTGTCCTTCTCTGGACCATAAGCGTTTTTTGTCCGCCTTATCTGAAGTACCCACTTTATTAGTTTCAGGTTATCCACTCACAGAAATACAGTGATCGTAAAAATTTAATGATGCGATTTTGGACTACCAAGACTGGCATTCTGTCCAACGATATTACCGCTCCTGACCACCTAGCATAGAATCTGGATCGAACTCGTAGTTGTATGCGTAGGGCGTTTGAAACCTCACCCCACATGGCCTAGGACGATGGACGAATTTGTATATACAGTGGGGCGTCAAAGTGAATTATACCTTTCATGAATTTCGACCACCTACCGTATTCAAGGCGTGAGCAATGCGTTGATGTTTACCGGCACAAAAATTGGAAGATTTCTTCGATAAAGTTTTGAAAGCTGAACAATCCTTTCGTCTTACCACTTTAGTTAGGTCAGATTAAAATGCTCCACAACATATTTATGACGTACTGAAACAATGGCAGAGCTCTCCAATATATATATATATATATATACATTAGGTAGAAGTATTGTACAGTGTTGTGACCATAGGTTCGCTGTTTCCGCGGTAATGCAACTTTTTGTGAATGGAACTAGGAGGGTAAACCAGTCCAACTGATCACCTATTGACTAGTCAGTAGGAGTGACCCGAATTCACTCATGTAGTGCTTACACAACGGTTAGCCCCGACATTTAACTTGGAACCAAAGGTCAAGGTCTGTGTGTGTCAACACCGGAACGGGATTGAGCGATATGATCGCTCTGTAAACGTTCACCCTCAAATGTACTCTAAGGACAACGTAAAGATCCATATTTAACAGCCGTTTGTCACTCCAGTGTCATCACATCATCCTTCGTTTTTGAGCTAAACTCAAAAGAGCCACCGAATTTTTTTGGCGGTACGCTCTTTATATCTGCACATTTTGGCTGAGATGCCGAATTTCTCTGAAACCAAAATTATTAGCAAGCTAAGCGATCAAAATTTCGGCATATGGATACACTTTAGTTTTATTCCGAGGCCTTCCTCGTCATTTTTATTTTTTCGATATCAGATCGATTAATTATGCTAATCCTTCCAACATGTAACACAAATTTTGAACGACAAACCGAAAGCGCTATTCGCGATGTCAAACTGGACTGGCGATTAGGAGCTACAAAAGCGTAATGAGAAAAACATACAAAGTCTTGTGGTTTGCGTCCGTATAAACCCATGATGCCTTATTGTATGGGTCTGCAAACAAAACATTTACATTATTTTACTGTTTTTCTCTTGCGTCTATTCTTCTATCTCTTATCAGGAACACGGACAACTACTTGTTTACACTGTTCAAGGGATTACCTTTTTTGCATTGGAAATTGTAAACGGCCATTTGGAAGCTGTCGTGCGACCAGACGGGCGTACTAAACTGGCATTATACAAACCTATAACTGATGCCAAATGGCACAAGTTACAAGTGAGTGAATTGGGTCATCCGTTTTAGCCTTCTGAGGCCTAATAGCTGTGAACAGTTGCACTACTTTTACGCTAATCCACAGGTTAAACAATATCATTCAGTCTTTTCTCACCTCTTTCTGAATTCCTGTCACATTGTCCAGGCTGCCAACATGCATATGATTCTTTTTAACTTTTTAAGCTGGTAAGCGATTGCTGATCTCCAAACAAGAACACCGATATGGCATTCTTGAGCATGGTGTCAGATCTATTGACCAAACAATCGATTCTTTCAACTGATACGTTCCACTTATGCTATATATATTTATATTATCAATGTAAGTTGATACTTTCACGCTACTGGCATACTACTGCGGGAACGGACACTGGTACCATACAGAAAATGGATGGCCAAATTTCACTTTTCTCATTCTTCATCTTTTCATTTTCTGAAACTTTAATCGAACTAGATATGGTGCCAAAAATTTAGAAACGAACAAAAAGTTAACCTCGAAGCAATTTTTTGAAGCTAGGCGTTTGTTCGCCGGTGAGAATCCAGATTTTAAAAAGGAGATTGTGGTCTAGCTGTAAATAACATTTTTGGAAGTAGAAGGCGTGTTGTACAAACCTTGTGTTGACTGTGGTGGTGAAAAGCATGACGCATTTACAAATTTCCTATATCTTTGTTTTGTCTACTCATTTGGTTCCAATCGTTTTTCAACTGATTAACAGGTAGAAAGTTTTTAGATTAGAGGTTTGAAATGTATCACGAATTTTGGTCATTTGATAAGCAGTGTCAGCCATGAATGGTGAAACATTTTTTTGTTATCGGCGAATGTCAACTGCATGGAGGCCCCCAAAACAAACACGTCAAACAGTCTGTTCAACCAGATGCTAATTCATCCTGCATAGGCTAGATGCCTCCACTGATAGCACAGAAGCAATGCTGTAGAGTTTCAGGAATTCTTTACATGAAGTAATTAAAGGCAAAATTCCAGTTGCATCGGTCAAAATGTTATCTTTTTCACCACAACTTGCTCACAGATTTCCAGTAATCCTTCACTACCAGAAGCCTTGGTTATCGGAGGCGATGAAGGGCGACATATTGTGAATATTTCTATCCCGATATCTATCAACAACCAAACGATATTCATTGGTGGATATCCAGTGACGTAAGTTCACGCTTTTGCATGATATGAATGGCAACCACCGTCTGCTGTTCACTTGATAACTATCTTGCATCTTATCTCATCTACCTTATATCTCAAAGGGATAAAATCTCGACTGAATGTTTACACCTGACAATACATCATTTGAGGAGCCAGTCAATAGGTGACCACTGATGTGGTTTCCGATCTTTTAGGATGGCAGGCGATAAGTAAGGGCTGCTCGCAATTCTGCTTAGCCACTCGCGGCCTGGCGGTTCTGAACACAAACCTAGGTTTCGTAAGATAAGCACTACTGACGTCTCTCAATATAAAGCGTCTGCCACAAATAGATAGCTAGAGGCATTCGGAGATTCATTCCTGTTAAATATGTGAGTTGATAGCCGGAAATTTCCCCATAAGCACTCAATTTTGGGGTGAACAGATTGGATGTCAGATGCTTTCTTTGTTTCATGATATTTGGCAACATGATCAGTAGATCGATAAAAACCGAATGATTGACTGGGCCGTCAAGAAAGCCTTACTGTCTCTGGTCTTACCGCAACTTTCGCAACGTGATTCACCCGAACGGCTACATAATTTCGGCCCATTTCTCACAGAAGAGAATCGCGTCACAGCAGATTGTGATATAGTAAACGTTTTACTATCTAGGAAGGTAAACGTGTCCCGTCTTAGTGCCAGGATTTTCCACCGAATATCAGTCGTGCTCTGTAACCTGCAGATATTCTTACATACCCAATAAATAATCGAAAAAAGCTAACCTTCCAAGCTAATCCATGGGGTGGTGGAAACGGGTACCCAATCAGCTATAGGGTTCTCTGAGTTTCACTATTTTACACCACATACACTGATTATCCTAAAAGAATGATATGTGTATTCCTTTGAGACGTATATAATTTTACAATTTAGGTAGCTGACAGCTTTGCTGTTTTGAATAACGCTTGCTCCAATAACCAAGCCTAGGAACATTTTTGACATGCCTAGATCAGCTTGCCTAAAATAATTCATCATAGTCCGCATGCAAATCAATGCCCAATTTAAGAGGCCAAGTAAACGAATGTTCAGGGCGTTTCAGGTTGCATCACCGCGTTAAATGTTTGAGATTAAATATCACTTTTTATATTAAACTGTCTAGCTGCAAATCTCTCTTAGAATCTCTTTGGCTAGAGTTGCAAGGGGGACTCTCGAAACCAAGATATAAAAAATGAGGTAACAAAGCCGTTGTTTCGAAATTTTAGTGAATCTTTCAATCTGCTAGAAGCTGAACTGTATAAAAAGGCAAAATGCTGTGACCAACTGTAATCTAGCCACAAAAATGCGATGGTGAATGAAAAATGTGCACACTTTCCATGGATACATATCTATTTAGCTGCCAACTGTTTGAGACAACTTGAAAAAGGTTCTTACGTCATTCACAAAACCGCGCGTGTGGTCTTTTGTTTGTATCTTGGCAGTTTGGCACTATCTCATATCCTGTATTGTAAATGGCTCTCACGGCACCTAATTATCAAAATTGAAACGAAAAAACCAGTCACATGAATTAACTGCTGCAGTTACAAAGGGTGAATTTTAAACTTATTTTCAAACTTGTTGCCCAATAATAAGTTAACCAAAATAGTGAGCCAAATGTCACCTCTTCTCTCTCGCTCTCGCCTTTCTGTCGTTTACTTGTGCTCAACTTCGCTAACTTCAAACAGCTAAATTGGCGAATACTTTCAGTGATTTCTTAACGTCCAAATGTGACAAAAAAGAAACTTTTGTATAGTTACTTAAAAGTTTGTAAGCTTGAAATGGCCATTTTTGAAGCAAGTATCGTTCTCCTTTTAAGCCCAAAGTGCTCATGTGATCTTCGTCTTGCACTTTCGTCCAACTAATGCTTCTCAGTTGTGTTTCGTGACGTGAAACGGCTAAACATTACGTCAATGCGGTGATTTGTTGAAAAATGTCTCAGTGAGGAGCAAACACCTAATTATTTGCCGGATGACCAATTTGGTTATGGACAACGTCATAACCAGAAGCGCTTAATTATCATTTTGCCAGAAAATCCTAGCGTGATGAACGCGGCACTAAAGATCAGTGTGCGGGAGCGCCATGTTTCTGAATGCTGTCGATATACAGATATAACGAAAATTCAATCGATGGAATATCCGACATGGGTTGCAGGAGAACTCTGTGACAGGCCTAAGCGAGGGCGAAATTTTACGGTAAACAGTACCGGTGTCTTCTGAGATCCAGATTTTGTATTCACATGCTTGTGCGAAGTATCAGAGGCAACTGAATGACTTCTCCCACATCAACCAAAGGATCTGAGATGAGTGCAAGGCGTTCTTTTGATGCAGGATGTCCAGTAAATATATATAAAAGCAGAAGGGTTAGAGAATCATTCACTTGATAACTTGAAAATCATGTTGAACTGTTTTCGCCTGCAGTTGTGGACTTCGAGCAAAGAGGACATGTATTGTAAATGAATCATTTGTACAAAACTCTGGAACTCCTCCCTTCTGTTTTAAATGAAGACTCTCATATGTCTACATCAGCACGCTGTCAAACTCGTGCTGAGCTGTGCAGTGTATTTCAACGACAGATGCCTTTGGGCCCCAAAAGAAAAATGAATATTCGGCCGGCCAGACCCAGCAAGGAATAACGAATTTATATCAATAGATCATAGGACGAAAGGCCTGTCTAATAGTCTGCTTGACAACAAGTAAAATCCCTTCAAAAATTGGCCGGAGATGTACTGTATGATGGTATGGTTATTTTAGTTAGGCAAACAAATGTTTGTTGCAGATCCTAATGCCATGGAAATAGAAATACTGGTCAGTGTATCAATATTTTAGAAGTTTTCATTTCAGGAGTAAATTGGTTGCCGGAAAATTCAAATAGCCACTTTAATTCCGTGTTTCCAGCAAATGGTCAGATACTTGTCCGAACGCAAGACGAATCAATTGTAGGTGACGTATTTCCTGAACAGTCCGCTAAAGTTCTAATTTGGGCTTGTTAAGCCACGGTGTGTGCACATTTTGCCAATAAATGGCAGATTATATCACAACACGTCATCTGATCGATTCAATCGAGGTTTTCTTACACGTAAAAACATGAGTTGATCCTACATCTAGCATGGTAGTACTACTGATCGGTACTACAGCATAGCATGTTAACTGTCAACCATGACATGCATATGGAGAAAACCAAACAATTCGGGTCATTGAATTCATTGCCAGTGCAGCGTTGTCAGACATGATCGATATTGTGCAGAGTGAAGCTATTGGTGGCTTACAAATACTTCGCTGACCAAATTTGAACGCAAAAATGACCTCGACCTTGAGCTACCGGATGCGCATGGTTCAAAGTAGACGCTTGATTTTTGAGTGTGCGAATCCTCGGCTTCTATGTTGCAAAAATTCACACCCTTTTTCTGTTTTTCCTGTTGAGGAACACCCAGTGTCATTTTATGCAGGACTTTGTCAGATGCCACCCCCGTATTCTTGCATTCATCATCGGATTTGACTGTCTAAATTTGTCACTTGAGTAACAAATGACACCTTTTATGCGAGGTACTGACTTTAGTCAAAAGCTAGCCAAGAAAGTAAACTGCAAATCCTGTTGATTACTGTTGATTTTCTAGTCCGCAAAGTGGGGTTTGGGCAATGCTTTATCTGATTTTTCTGTGATATTTAGCGATTTCGTTCGCTGATTTGGCCCATAAAGAGCTTAAGTATCAAAATTCTTCCTTGTTCAGCGATCAGACATTCCCACTGTTAAAAGAGAATTCATAAAAGGGAAACTTACTTAATTAAGCAAACCCAAGCACACCTTCAAACTCGTAACAGAATATAAACACCGTAACGCAGTGGTAAAACCCAAAACTTTTAGGACGACGGATCAGAAGTGTGCGTATTAATCAGCTATAAAAACAAAATCTGCGGCATTGCGACTGCATTCCCTTTGGGGTTCCCCTTCAAAGAAAGCAGTGAAAGCACAAGTGTTCAACGAAAAAAACAAAGCTCTAAGCGTGTCCATTGTAACTCACTTTCACTTTATTGTCAGTGTTTTTAGGAAGCAGCAGATACACACAATTGGGATGTTTCTCCATTCTGGTGATTCAGCGGTTCCTAGTTCCAGCCTCAAATGTGGGCAATAGGTGCCCACTTATACTTACTTCAACACTGGAGAAGGGTTGATCAACTCAGGGTAAACCTACTTTAAATTAAACAGATTTAGTATAACTGACCTTATGGTGAATGGCAAGCAAAATGTCAACGTTAAGGAAATAATAGTTATTGAATTATGCCTGATATAAATGCTACAAGTGCCTTTTTTGCATGTAGGAGACTTGTTCATGAAAAAACTGTAGGCAATTGCCGACTACCTCCGAAAACTAGCTGGATGTTAGGAGTAGGAGTGTGGGTTCAACGTAAGCCGCTATCGAGTTTGCCACTCAATGGGCAGAAATGCAGTACTCACCAAGCTACTACTCACCAAGCACCCATAATGGGGCGTGTAGTACGCCACGCGGTAATAAACGGGTTTGTCTGAATGGAAAATTCGCGTCTACTGAATTGAACTCGCAACAACGAGTGAACCATGAAGCATGGGGCCTATATACCAGCGACACGGCCGTGAATATCGGAATCGTGCTAGTATAATTTTGTTCTATAACTAACTGTCATTTTTGGCGTCTAATGTATGCTGCGGGCGAAGTCAGGGTAGACTTTCTCTGTGCAAAATCGGTAGGAATAATCAGGTGGTCGACTCGACTATGTGAAATACACACCTACTGATTCGTCGTCCAACAATGAAGTACTAGATGGGTTGACCAGTCAAGGTCTAGAGAGTCGTCAAAAACCCTTACTAAGGTAATCAAAACACATTAATAGCATTATGGGAATGGAACTCAGAAAAATACGTTTGTTGTAGACAGGCTTAATTTTATAATCTATCTTCACGTTTATGACGTGTGTTACAAGCGCGTACGTGATATAAAGTGGTATAAAAGTTTGGCAAACCGCTCGATTCATTCAAGTAAAAATCAAAAATATTTTGCGCTCTAGTAGCTCTAACCCATCACACTGAATTACGTATCTCGTCTCTGTTCCATTGGTCTCAGCGGCGTTCAGGACGAAATAGACGGCAGCGGACTGCTTACATCCAAAGCAGCATTTTCCGGTTGCGTCGCATCTATTGCTCTGGCCTACTCTTCTGATGACATGCAAAGACGACAGTCGTCAAGCGGCTTGGTTCAAACTGCTGGATACATAGCGGAGGATGCACACAGCGCCAACTTTTTATCAGATGACTTGTCAAAATTGACCCGGTGGAATAACGTTAGTCCAGGTTGTAACGTATTTTCAAATGAGGTTCGCCATCGTTACGACGGCCATTGTACCCCTCGAATATGCCATTTCGATGGAAGGTGTGTACAACAGCTTGGCGCGACACGATGTGACTGCTCAATGACGAGCTTGGCTGGAAAGTACTGCACAGACGGTAAGTCATTTGGACTGTTGATTTGCGCCATAATCAAGAAGCTTTACAAGTTTAAGGCATCTTGATTGAAACTAGTGGGAATCTTGAATGGGTGTCTGTGCGTCGATGGGTGTAATTGAATATGATTTAATGGGATTGGTATCTGACGTCTTTAATAAAAACAGACGTTTGAAACAGTAAAATCTACCTGCTGTTTGCAGCAATTTGGATGTATGACCGGGTGAACATGGTGTAAACCCCAAATAATAACCAGAGAGTGAGCAGGGGTGGGCTGCTTCGAAGACATCCGCGCAACTGGTGTCCCACATTTGTCAAATAAAGTAAGGATAATTGAAGGCCTGAGAATCACAGTGCATTTACAGGCTCGTTCAGTGACGCGCACCACTAAAACATTTCTTGAGGACGCACTTTAGACAAGTTAATACTAGACCTTGCCCAGGTTGGTCTGCGCAGGGATAGTCACAGAGAATCGCCTCCAGAATCCCTGCAGGGCCAATACCCCCGAATGTCCAGAAAGCTGGAGCGGATCGCTTGCAGATTTGCACCTATGATACAAGCACATAAACCAATGATACAATGCATATAAATTGGACAGCATTAAAAACAAACGGGCAACCTCTTAACGTATTCCCTCAGTAGGAAACCGTTCAGATATTTTTGTGCACATGTGAATCCCCAGTCGGCAGCGATCACTGTCCACTATCCACTCAGGTAAACAAATCCTTGTAAACAGTTAACCCGAAACCCCCAAACTGTGGGTCGTAATGTAGAGCAGACTACGGGAAAAGCTTTGGAATCACGGAAAACTCAACGACACACCTCTGATCGTCCGTACTGAGGTTCATCGGTTAAGTGAGGATTTAATAAAGACAATCGATCAAACGACCAAGCAACTTTGGATCCAAGCACATTTTGTATACTACTTTAAGCGGGGCAAAGAAGCATGAAAATTGTCATATCCATCTGGAATTTAGAAAATCTTCAGTATGGACCAGAGGTCATAATGCTGATCAAGTTATTTGTCCTTGTTCTTAGAGTCTTATGCCCACTAGCGGAACGAAAGTTAGTGGTGGCCGGTGGTCTTGCTGAATACCTTGTTTTACTAACGTCGGTGAGGTTGGCCTGCCTTACCAGAAATTTTCCGAAAGTGATATAAATATTTTTTAACTGCATTGATGGCATCGTCTAAGCGTTTTCTTGAGCGAGTTTTGGTGGTTTATGATGACACTTATGATAAAATTGTTCCCTATTTGAGCGGTAGATTAGCTTATATTCTTCCCGATGCACTAAAGGAGTGTGGTATTGGGACGGGGAGCATGTATCTTCACAAATTTGACAAAGTTTTTGCGATATTGGGGTTGCTTATTAAATATCTAACCAGAATCATTACTTGTCAGCAATCGTCAAGAATGGAGCGGAAGATAGAAAAGTATAGCAAAGTCACTTGAACAATCTGATTACAACTTGCGGTTTCTAAAGAAACTTCAAAAAAGAATGGCAAAGTGTTTCCTTACATGCAACATCTGAACGTCTTTTCAGTGCTGCGCCTTGAATGACAATTCATTCTGAAATGTTATGATGGTGATCCTAGTGGAACAATTTTAACTTTCCAATTGTCGGAAGTGCAGCAAAAATTCTAAATTCCCGGTTTTTTGCGTTTAGTTAAACTTTTAAATTTTGCATTAATTAACCAAAGTTTCGTCACTAATCGTGGAGCATCATAACCCACTCGACCGCATATGGATGCTGACGAAACTCCTGTAAGCAAAAGTGCCAACCTCAGCGGACAGATTGACTGGCGTTTCGTCTACAAAAAACTAGTACACATGAGCTACCTATATCTTGGTATATTCTCAGAATATCCTGTTGTTTGTTTCCTCTCAGTTGGCATACCACTCACAATGGCACCCTATTTTAGGTTGGAATGAGTGAGTATATCGTCAAAATAACTATGGTCTCCCAATTATGACTCTTGAAAGCCTCAGAACTACTACTAATTCCGCATTTCAAAGCTGTGATTCGTCCGTGTCTTGCACTGCCCCAAAGCGGCGCTGATCATCAGTGCTGATTAAACTTGCTCTGATGAACTGGACACTAACTAAATGGTTGCACACAGTTATCATTCCTTACGGACTTAGTTTGGCTTAAACAGTATTCTGTTCATATATAAGAGAACAAACGTGTGGATCGTTCACCAAGGCGTGACTTACTTAACAGATACTATCTGAGTTCACCAGACAGAAAAGTTGCGCTTTCCAAGGGCACAAACATAGGCTTGTCCGACTAACGATAAGTCTATTCATTAGTATACCCTACTCTTCAACTAGGAAACCGGATAGTTTGTCTAGAGATGCGAGTAATACTGCTATCCATTGTGTAAAATTTGCATACTAAATTGAATTTGCATGTCCATAATAAGCATTTATCTTTGACAGAAAAGTCACCTCCGCTAAGCAGTAACCCTCATCGCCTCACAATTAACTAAAGCAAATTTTGCTGCATGTGACCTTTTCAAGTTTGTTAAACGTGTACATTAACAATATTCGTAGTTGGAGCTGCCATTCACTTGTCCGCGAGTCCACTTGGCGTCCTGAAATTTGAGCTCAGCCCACCACAGAACACCACAAGGGATCATTTGGCATTCGGCATACAGGCAACAAAACGAGGGTCCAGATCGCTTGTTACAATAAAAGGACACGGCACCTCAACGGATTTTCTTCGGGTATCAGTAATCCCACTGAAGGTAAGTGGAACCCGATCAACCGGTTTGTGCGTGCGGTGATGCTGTTCCATCCAAGATGAGAGGTTTAAATCCACAATCATTCCCTCGTCAGTCACTTGAACCTAATAGCTCATTCACAGATAATAAAACAATCCATACTCTTATGAGGAACTTACGAAACCTAAAGTGACCAGGTGTATTACGGTACGAATTTCGCTGTTAGATGTTACGAGGTTTCTTGTGTCAGGCTTGAACAGAACCACCGGTAGTTAATGTTGGAAACATCTGAATAACCCAGGACACACTGAAAGGGCAGACGAGGCAATCTGTTTTTGCGTAAATGCCATACCAGGACCGAAGATAACATGGTCACCACTCAGCAACAGGTGACTAAAGCCCACTTCAAAGGTTGGTATAAATTGTTACAGGTTCATGAGCATTTCTGCGGCAATCAGGACGTTTACTTACTCTACTGGACAGGGCATTTTGACTGTTGTCGCCTTTAGGAAGCTTGAAAATAGTTGGGATGCACACCACACGCTATACATATCTTCAAACAAGGCTTCGTGGTTTTATAAGCCTCAGATTTGGTTCTTCTTCAGCACGTAAAGTTGCACACTGGAAACAGCTGCAACAGATGTTTACCTTTTATTTCTCGTTTAATTTTCTCTCAGTCTCGTCATGTACTTCTGGTACGTTATAACATGGGAGGTGGTCAGCAGACGTTGCTTGAACACAACGTGGATATCGCCGATGGACGTTATCACGTTGTACAGCTCATCCGTGATGGAGCCAACTGCATGCTGCGCATTGACCTGGAACACGAACGGGTGAATATACCAAAGGGTATGTATTGTCGCGCGTTCATAGGAGTAACCAGCAAAGTTGTTACCATATTTAATACGAGAGCAACTTCGAAGGCAAACTGCGTACTAACAATAGATTCTTCCGTAATATCACCATCCGTCACGAATACCATATTGTGTACAGAAATGAAGTAGTGTTACAACTGCCTCAGTACATTGACCGTATAAGTGTTCAACTCACCAGGCTGAATCGGGTGACCTTTGTGAGGACAATGTAAAATCGCCAAGTTAAAAATCTCCTAACAAATGTCTGCGGAATCCCAGCTGCTTATAAGGAAATCCACATAATTTGCTTATCCAAAATCAATATATAATGTTCGTAATGTTTCTGAGTCCACTTTGGATGCAAAACACATTAATGCCTCAGTACATCTGACCGAATTTCATCTACTTCTGGCTCAATTTTTGTGTTCCCTGGAACATAAATGAAATCAGTAACATTTTTATTACGTCTCCGTTTCACGAAATGCAAACTCAGCCGTTATGAAAGCATCGTAATAGCTGCTTGCAGCTGCCAGGGGTCGCACTAAAAGTCGAAATACAACATGGGGCTGGTAACAAATAGATAACTTGGCGTTTTCGATGTGTCTGAGTTAGATCAATGTAACAATATCACTGGTAGCATTTAAGATGATTTGGCTGCTATGAAGATTGTTTTGAAGCTGACCACATCGTCTGTGAGAATTCAGTTTTCACTACCGCGAGTTTTCAAATCCGCTAAGCGTTTGGAAAGTTGAGTACGACGCGACAGGCATGCATTAAATCTTCTTCAGTGGACGAGCACATCCCCCCAAATGAATTTAGCAAAGAAAACGCTTCTGCTTATAACAACAGCGACATCACTACACACAACACTTTGCGAGTTGCGACTGCAACTGTTACTTGCTGCTATAACTGCTACTATCCCTGAACTCATACCCTGTATGATGCAGAGAAACTGAAGTTTGTCACGCACGCTCATCACAGATAGGGAAATTCAGTCGCCTTATTCAAGGAGAAGACTACATTTGTGTTATTTATTTAAAAAAACAGCTTCAGAAGGAAAAACTGTATATGTATGTTAGTCCAGACAAGGAAGCGGCTCACCAAACAGCGTCCAGACAGAATGAATCGCACAGCGGTACAAAAGTCTGACTATTGCTGGGCATTAACCATTAAAGGAAAGAAGTCAAAATCAGGGTGCTTACGTGATTTAGTTGGAGATATTGATTATCCACTTCGAACTAGCATATATATATATATATATATATATTCGCTCTCAACGCCCTAACACTCTTTTGCCTCATTTGTAGAGTAAGCAAGACTTAATAAGTAGTGTCCGCCAAAATTGTCTACATAACTAAAATCCTTGAGAAGACTCGCGTGAATTCTATATTAGGAACACGACAGTAGCCAAAAAGATTCTGTAAGCTAGAGCTGATGGCGTGCCGTTCTCGGAATCTGCGGTTCTTGGCTATGGAGTTGCAACGATGGCCACGCCAGTCAGCACGTCTGCAAAGTTTCTTCAAATCAGCAAAACTTAAGAGTTCTCCTTGCAGCCTGACCTATCAACAGCTACTCAGTGCCAAACTAGACTAATTTGTCCACAGGTCTACTATGTCGTTTTCCTGCATAACCCATACATTGAGCCGCACCTGGTGAATGGCTATTCAGACATTGATATCCATCGGATTGCAGTTATTTGTATACAAACGAGAATCTTTGGTCCAAATGCGAAACCTGTCTTGGTGAATCACGATGGATATCAAGAACTGAGAAAAAAGCTTCCCAACAGGACTGTGCCCATTACTGCTTACATCGGGTAGTTTCATCGACGTCCTTCCATAGTATGGAATGATTGGACTTCATGCTTACTCCAGCATAAAATCATAAGGAGCCCACTGGAATGTAACTTGAAGTGAAACGCCCCCAGCATTATGCATAATTGCATACTTAACTGAAGTAGTATACGCGTTGATATACTAACATTATCTCCAGCTTTATTATACATGTATGGTATTAACTTATTTCTCTCTTTCCCATCCTAGGGACACAAGGAATGCACTTCAACGATATAAAGTACATTCATGTGGGAACCCCGGTGACCACATGGCAAAAAGATGCGTCTACATCAAGAAACCAGTCGGGTTCAGAATATGATCAAGTTTTCGAGGGATATATTACAGGTAACCCATGTAGTCAGGCGATTCTTCCAATTTTTTATCCATTATGTAACAGCCAGACTCCACACTTGCCTAAACCCATGCACAATCATTTATGATTGTAAACCACAGTGTCGGATGATGACATTTCTAAGGCGCGGAACAGCTTAAACAAAGCAGTCACTTAGGAGAAACACGCGCCCTTGAGTTAATTCAAGGAGGAGATTCATAACCGAACTTGTATATAGATGTGTTCAAGGTGTCCACCAAGCCCATACAAAGAGTTTTGGAACAGAAGTGAGGAACGTTATGAGACGGTGAAAAGTGGGTTACACTCCGTCCAGGGAATAGAAGCTATTGTTAGGAAAACCTTAATGCCTGGCCGCTTGCTGAGCACAGATACCTCATTGATACGAAAGAGGAATATTTTTGGGACCAGACTAGTCTTTTAAATCCTGTGTCTATTTACTCGGTTGTTTACCTTGCATTTTTTTAGGTTTGAACTATAACGGAATCGACTTGCTACAAGTTGTCAATGGGCTAATAATACCTGGAATCTTCCTCAGTGCTGGTCATGATATCGAGATGAAATCAGGTTTTCAACCAAACATGGAACACCTTCGAGCAGCTCAGAAAAGGTATTGAATTTTTGAAATCTTTCTCCTAAATGCAGTAACATCATTTATCTAGTTCAATTCACAACCTTTAGAAGTGCTACAAAATGCCTTATTATCACACTTCCCACGTTAAGTTGCATAGTATGTGAATTGTGCTTCGTTTACGCAAAGTCACGCAACTCGGCTTCATGACAATGTGAGCGGAATGCGATCACGGCAAAATTACGATGTGTGGCATTCATCAACACACTTTCAGGTCATGAGGTACCTAGTAGTTTTGTTTTCTTGTTCGCCAGTGCTACCGACAAACAGTTTTTGAGCAAAAAGTGGAGAAATAACGGTGTTGACTCCGGTGCTCTCCTAAAGTGTTAGCATTCAAACGAGAATTCACACTACCATCGGAGGTGGTGCTGTGAGAAACGTTTTAATCAGTAACTAAGATCGATTTGTCGGATCAAGAACTATCACATTTTACCTGCAGATGTCAATCACCAATGTCAACCGGCCTGCCCCCGTCATCCAAGCTTCCAGCAGAAGAATAGGCTAACCCAGATTCAGAGGGGCAAACCTGACGTTTTATTCCCAAATTCCGTTAGACTTCAAAAAAGAAAAGCTGTTGTTTATGAACAGCTTCATTCTCTTGGCCTGCGGATGAACACATTAAAAAGCAATTTCGTGTTTCCTGGAGAGGTAGAAGAAGAACGCCTGATAACCAGTTTGTGTGACCTTTTAGAAACCCTTGCCATCTAGTTGAGTAAACCAAGCGTTGTTGAGCACACTTAATCGGTTCCCTTGATTAACTCTTGTTCAATGGCTATACTGCTGAACTGTAGACTACAATTCTAAAGGGACCAATAAATCGACCGCCGACAATGCAGTTGGGGGCAGAGGGTCAAACAAAATGCATCCTTAAAGTGTAAATGTAAATTTCCCTTCACATCATGTCTATGGTCTACACCGAGGATGGTATGCGTTTTGAGTATCACATTGTGTAAAAATGACAATCCTTTCCTTGATACAAAAACGAACGCTAAGCAAAGGTTCTATTTAATAATTTGATTGCATGAAACGCTTCATTGGAGCAGTAAAATGTATGGTACAGAATCGTGAACAGTTTAACATACGGATCGCTTCCAGTAGAAAACAATAAGTTTATTTGCTGCTGCTCAATTTCCATGCCTCAAACAACATTGCATGCACTACTTTATTGCCTCAAGGAAGAGGTTCACCGTCTTTCAGTTTCGGGGTACCTAAAATCGTCAGGCTGTGCAAGAGCGATTGCGCCGTATTTAAAACTAGCCTCCGGAATCTGTTGCCACCATTTTTTAGTTTGGCAACTTAATGTTAATTGAGCACTTAGGTTCATAAACACGGGTAATTGTTATTACCGGAAAATTCACAGTGTTCTCTTTGGTTAATATGTTACTGAAATTAGATAACAACCTCCGGAGCGCACAATCCCTCGAAGGTCCTTCCAGAAGATAATCAATAAATTATCCTTCAGTTTTGGATGTGTGAAATAAAAGGAACAACTCTTGGTTATTTTTGATTATTTTGTAGTCTGTCGGATCAAATTATACAATAATTCAGGCAAACTTCACGCACTTTGCCACTGGAATCTAGAGGCAACTTGTATGAGGCAAAATGTCAGTTTGTTATCGAATATGCGGAAATCCGTCGCGTTCCAGTTACGGTAGATGCGATTACGTACGAGACTTGAAAGACTTCTTCGTTCCTGATAAGTTCACCAGTCTTCACATATGTAAGGATTATGTGCCAGTTTCTGGCATCCCACCATTCCTTCAAAATCACTCAAGTGGTTATCACTAACGCCTGACTACATTAACAGCGGTGTAAATGAGATGGTAACATTGTTCGCAAGCAAGCGAGTGATCACATTTCGCTTGATCGAACAGTTATGCACTGTAACACGACGACTGTCTTGGCTTGCACGAAAAGCAACTTCAAGTTACTAATTGCCGAAAGCATATGGCCACGAGGAATACCACGAAGCATGCACTTCTACTTCCTACTAAATTGTCAGCTTGGTCTTGCGTGATTAACAAGTTGAAATACTTAATCTGCAAGCAAGCGTAAGCAACAAGTTTATACCAGTAAAAGTACGTGTTGTTCTACTGTCAGTAATGTTGCACAAAACACTTCGGCAAATTTGCACTGATCATTCTACACGTACAGAAAGCTGCTGCCGAATCCTCGGCTCAGCTTGTGCCAGTAATCTAAAACTGCCTATGAACGACAAATGTGTGAATTCTCCTACCCAACATTTGGAAGCAAACGCATAAATTAAACTACTTTCTGCTCGTCATGTTTTAGATCCGACAGCACGGTCCCCCTAACTGCGAATGACATGCAGGTTCATTCGGTGAGTTTTCGCCTGTTGCTAAACATCGGACCCACGCAGTTTTAAGGTGATCATTTACCAACAGATAAGTTTGTGAGTGCGCCCGGTTGTGTTTTGAACGAAGCCTAGACAAAATATTCACGCGGTTTTAGGCTATACTGTATGTGTTTCTAGCAAGAATCTGGTAATACGGCAATGAAACTCAGGACGGTCGAAAACAAATGACAATTTTGAAGAGCATTCACAAGTTCCAACGTTCATGTTTGCCACACCTAATTTTTCTAGCTGTTTTGTTTTTTAAGGCCTTCGCTCTCTGCCGAAAAGCCGTTGAATGGCTTCTGTCTCTCAGGTTTTCTCAGATCGAAGAACTTAGTACTTGCCAGATCATAACAGTAAAAGGAAATGAGATATTGACTGATCACTAATTTCCTGGACCGTTACTAACCGCAGAAATTATAGAAGCTCTTACAATCAATTCTCTTGCGGTTACAGTTGGCTCGTAGTTTCTAAAGGACGTTTCATCCATGTCTCATTTTGTGGTTGAGTATGTTAGGCACTATTTCCCACCTTTTGACGGAGAAAAATTGATATAATCCGCTGCACGATTCTCTGAAAATGTTGTTAGCTCATACTCAACGTATCCCATACACGATAATTCAAACTAAATACTGTGTTTACCGAATGGTTGACATTCGGTTGCGCTATCCAAACTGATGATGTTACATAAAGTCCACATAACAGCCCACTCAGCAGAAAGCATCGGATAATCCCTTGAAGAGTTACCGTTCTGAGTATGCTTAAAATGACTGTTCAATGCACTCCATGTTATTTCAAGTTATCAAACCACTCTTTTTCAAAACAGACCCGAAATTCTAGCATACCACACTTTGAGATCTTTAACTGAAAAACTTTCATTCTCTATCCCAAAATCGGGGCTGAGTCCTAAAACTCTTTGCTGAACACTGTAAATCAATAAACTGTGGTCGCACGCACACGCTACAAATGTTGAATGTTGATCTATCTTGATGGAATGTTCTGCCATATTTCCGAAAAGAAGACAGAACTAGGCCCCTTAATGCCTTTTACGGAATAATGAGCTGTAGATCAGCAGAGTTTCCAAACCATGAGGTGACAAATGGTTCCGTCTATTACCACTTGGGTTATATATTTTTCTACCATGGGCTTGGTTGCTCCCTGGTCCCATTGTACGCCCTATCAGGTTTGCCGGCTTCAACAACATTTCAATCACACCCTTCTGATCAGCTTCTAACTTTTGAATGATCAAAAGCAAGACACGATGGTCTACGTGAAATGCTTGTCTTAACGACAAAAAACACACTACGCATACATGTTCTGTTATTGATTCGTATTAGTTCGCGTGTGTTTGCATTCTGGGATGCGAACTGTTAGTCAACTTTTCTCTTGTTCTTGATCAATTAATAGTATGTTCTGTTGTTTTGCGATGATCTGAACACCGATTATCGACGATTTGGGGAAATAAATAGCAATAAATAAATAAATAAAGTGCATCATCAGCTATGAACGAACAAACAAACATTTGACGAGCATATTTCAATGATCACATTTTGATGAACCATATTCAAGCATTTCTACAGGATCCCGTCGCCAGCAAATTCCAGTCTGACTTCAAAACTCCGGCAACTTACGATGCGTCTAAAACCTGAGCATGCATGAAAAATTACCTTGTTCGCCGAACGAAATTCCCCAGTCACTCACACAAAAGCCTCGGGTCCAGTGTATTGAAAGCCGAATAATTCCACAGATGTAAACTGATCTATGGATTACACGTATGCAGAAGAACTAGTGTAAACCTGTCAGCAGTCACGTAAGAAAGGTCAAGTACTCATTTCATCTACGGGCACTTGTTAATTTCCCAGCAGATCGACAAGCCACAGGATGAGAACGAGCTGGACATGTGTACGCCCGTCCGTTTCTATGGTCGGACGGATATGTGAATTTGAACAGCAATTACAAAGCAACAATGGGAAAGGCTTGACTGAAGTGTTCGCTGCAGTATTGCGTGATAATAATACTATAAACCCTACGACAATGAGCTCATTACCAGTATGTTCTAGAAAAAATGAATGACGTTTAAGGGTAATGCGAATATCCAGTAATCATTACGATGGCTTAAGTCGAATGAAGTTTACGAATAATCGCACCACAAGCTGATTATTTATCAACAAGCATAAAGAGCCCCAACGTTAGCCTCGAAGGCGTCCTATTGCTGTAAATGGAACAGAAACAAGTATATTCCGTTTTTATTTCATTTGATCAAAAGGCGTGTGTACGAGTTACTGGAAAACACTTGACTTGATACCATTGGAGTGTATTTGTCAAATCATACTGCTTGACCTTTCAGAGACAAAATGTTCCGACAGATCACCGATCGGAGCCATTGATTGTACCGAGAATAAACTGTTTGCAACCAGAAGGCGGTTACGATGCGAAAACTTGTCTACCAAGTGATGAAGATGGACTGATCAGACCATTCATAGAGTTTAGCCGAACGGCTGTGTTGGAGGAAACAACCAAGTAGGTACAACATTGCATGTGTCCAACATGGATGGTGTTTATTCCTTAAGTTCACCCATTTTAAGGTCACAAACCTTTTGGCAATCTCTCGAGACAAAAAAATTTCCCGTTGGCGACTTAAAGTTAATTTAAGTATTCTTTTCATCATCGCTTACAAATTATGTTTTCCGCTTTTAAACCTAAAGGAAGCCGTCTGAAGCAAATCATTGGAATGCAGATCAAAGCAGAAACAAGCAACCACAGCCGAATGACTCCGGATCGCTCAATATGGCTTCAAATACGAACGCGGGTGAACCTGGCATCCTGGATTATCATCCTTACAATCAGCCCAACCGAAAAAAGCAACATAATCCTGATATCGGGTTGGATGGGGCTGTACTTTCCAGTAAATCCTTTCAGAGCCCGGAAGAAATCGATGTATTTGAAATATCTCATGATGGGCTGAAGCCGGAATATGCTTTCAAGAAACACTATGTGTTCAACATAGGTCTTATCGCCTCCGTATCTGCCGGTGGAATCTGCGTATTAATAGTTATCACTTGCGTTATATACCGATGTATGCGTCGCGACGAAGGTTCCTATAATGTTGATGAAAGCTTAGCGTACACCGGTGAATCTACAAGAACTCCAACGGTGGTCGGTCACCGCCTATCTAAAGATCCTCAAATATCTGACTCGGTGACAATGCGAAACTTAACAAAGTCCGAAGACGAAGGACAGTGTCTTCAACTGGCAGGAAAAACAGCACTCATCGTTACGTTCAGCGACACATGTAAGGCGAACATCCCAACCGCCAACTCTCCTTGTCCGCTTAATTCGCCCAAACGTGAAGCACCTACTTCGCCATCACTCGGTTCAATTGAAAGCGACAAGCGAAAATCCGATTTAATCAGGATAGAATCCCCAACCGAACGAAAGAGTTTGTCAGTAAGCAAAAGTAAATCTGGGAAGAAAATCAATGACTCACAGGAATGGTATGTCTGAAGAGAAAAAATGAGTCATATATCAGACCGTCGTATGTACCATTTATTGTTATGGCACTCCGAACCAAACTTTCCAAAACTTTCAGTTTTTGTTACCATATAGTATTGGAATGATTCCACGTTATATATTATGCTCACTTTGTCAGATTTGTATATAAGTATAAGTATGTCAATATGTGTACAAGATACGAATGCTCATACTGCGAAATATCCATTTTATTTGTTATGTTGTATGATGGAAAATGTATTGCACGCGTTGGATTAGCTGTGAGAACCGATAAATTTTGGCCATTAAATGCTGTGAATTGAACGCTGTTTTGCTGTCTGCAGACAGGAGTGTGGTCACCACTGGGAAGCAGCTGGAGGTAATGTAGGCTATTATGACAGCTGAGTGCTTTACTGCAGACATAAAACATCGTTGGAACGGTGCGTCTAGTACTATCCATTTTAAGTAGACAAACATGGGCTGTTAGGTGATATATATATATATACATATATATTATATAGATTATATATATGGCTGCATTCCTCTCCACTGTGGTGCCACGTGATCTTCGGTAACCAAGAATTGCTCTATGGCTACCATACAAACTAGTGGGACAGTTATTCTAATCACTACTGGAAGTAATTTTGACTAAATGTCTTGCGGGGTTCTAATTTGGACAGCCATACGTCATTGCCAAGCATAAGAACAATAACTTGAGATAGGTAGGCAACTTAGTATATTGATGTGTCCAAGATGAGCACAAGGACGTTGATGCTGATGGAGTTGCCCAGTGTCTGAATTGTTCTGATATGCAGCCATTGTGGAAGCGTTTTAAAGGGGGTTTAATTTTGAATGGTCTACTAAGAGCGGAGACTTTCCATAAGCTAAAAGTTCCTCGGTTTTTCTTTCCAGAAAATTCAGGTAACCAGATGTAACGCGATCACTGGAATGCCTGCAACTTAGACGCTCCGTAGCCTAAGAATCTATAAAGCACAATTAAACATAGTAAAAAAAACCGGGTATTGAAAGGGTTCCAGCGAGCTTCATAATTTATCGCACAGCATTGCAGCAGTGCCGACGCCCCAAAATTTGACTTACGTACTCATGATAAACTGTGGTCTGAAATGTGCTGTTTTGGCGCAGTAGCTTTTTCTAATGTCGTGCTAATGTATTCTCAAGAAGAGACTTGCAAAAATATTGCACATATATTAGTTAAAACTTATCATGTACCATATTCCTTCAGTTGGTGTTGGGGCTCATTTCCATTTTGATATGGTAGCTCGGGATTTAATGTGCCGAAAGCAGTTTAAATTTCTTAGTAGTCTGATAGGTCCGCTAATTAGTTCTTTTTAGCCGGTCACTTGCTTACTTGAACAAAGAAGCCTACTTTTGATGTGTGCGAATCGAATTAAATCGGACTTTGTACGACACAAGGCTGTAGAATTTGTAACTTTACAGTTTAGGTGGGGGTACCATCATGGCAGAAAATATAAAATATTAGTCGATTGTGTAGCATGATGGGTTTTTAGCTTAGCTTTGAGCGAGCTTTGAGCGACAATCACGTGCATTGAGTAAAAACTAAAGGAATTACAGTTGATACCGAAAATCGATAGCGAAAATTAGCCCAAACATAGGGCACCCGTGAGTGCCTGAGTCAAACAAATAGTATGCTCATGTAACACTGAACAAAATCTGGAACAAACCCCGTACATGAAACAAAGTGCAACCGATGAGGGCGGTGCTGATCAAGCCACTTCTTCTGACTAAGGATTAAGTGGATTGGAAAGGCATTGAAAAGTTATGCTCTGGGAGTTGAAAATAATGGGATTAGTCACGCAAATGTATACGACACTAAGCTTAAACTCTAAGCATAGTTTTTTTTGTACAAAAAAGAGGTGTAATCCTTTAAAGTCCGAACTGTTTAACGTTTACATCTATCAACTACTGACTGGCGTTTTGCAGAGAACGACATTTCTCATACGAAGCTTTCTGTGTATTGTTTACAGATAAACACAAAGAGGATGGTAACACTAGTTACAAGGAAGAATAAGAGCAAATCCTTTAGGTTTAGCTGAAATACCAGCACAATCGCACAACAATACAACCTGCACAACTAAATGGCCCAATTAATTGAGGGACCACTGCATAACACTAAAGTTGATGAGAGAATTGGAGTTAGGTGTGTCCACTTTATCTATATGTTCAGAGAGGTACTCTTGCAAAATAATCACGGGCATTCTTGAACACGTGCATCACTGATCCACCAAGTAACACTAATAAGAGGGAGTGATTAAGTGCGCAATCTCATGTGAAAGACCATACCCTCAGGAAGTACGGCTGACCCCGTGTATACTACGTTAAAACGACGGCAAAAAACGCTATCGTCTGAAAAGTATGTAAAACTATGTAAAAGTATGCAAAGTACGGTGCCCGAATTTCTGCTGTCGAATCATTGCCATGTGTCGAACCGATCATCTACATAGTTCTGAATACTTCAGTTCTGAATAATCGGGTTCTGTGTACAATAGTTTCCCCCGGTGCAAAGTGCAAACTTATATTAAAATTAGATTCGTCTGACTGCCATGGGGTTCCAACACATATCACAGGAGGCTGGCTTTAAAAAAATACTTAATCGGCGGTGAGCTTTCAACACGTAATTTGGGATCATGAGACGAATCGTACGTGAACTTTTATGTATTTCCACCAGCCACTGCTGGGTGAAAATCAAAAGTGGGCTCGAACTGGAATATACAATTTGAAACAGAATCGCTGCATTTCTAAGGTGCATGGAGACAACCCTGACCATACAGACCGGTCACAAAAGGAGATTTCTATAACCAGCTTTTATTCTGTCGAACGTTCTCTTGTGTGCCCAGTGAGCGGTTTCGTCGATTAAAGGTCGAGTAAATTATCTTCAACTTACCTTCCAAAAAATGCTGAATTTATCGTGCAAATTCTGTTTAAAGCTTTCACTCCGTTTGACCCTCAAACTCCGATTTGTGCGTTTAAGCGTACAAAGGTAAAAAATAGACGACAGACACGACACTCAAGAGCTCATTGAAACTAACTCAACCTACAGGTGTTTTTTTGCATTGGATTTTAAAGCAAACGTTGCTACCGTTGGATTACATCTCCCACACAGACAGCTTTCCAAACCCGATAACAATTAAATACGGAAAAAACGAATCCCTTCCGAAAAAAACAAAACACTAATTTATTATCAATGATACAGTCAACCGGGCAATCTAATATGCTGTTTCTTAAGTTTTATTTTTGAACATGTAATGCCTGCGTATGCAGTGCTATGCATGATATCGCAAACTCGATGACTCTGTGTTTCCGTCCCCAGTCATGGGAATACGTCGGTTTAATTTTGGTAAAATGATAAAACTCTCTATAAATGCTTTCCTGGAATAAATCACATACCGTATGTCGTTATTCATCTGTGTCAAAATGGGTTAGCTCTTGCGTGGTCCCCCATTTCAGAACGGATTGCAATCTCTGGTCTACTAAACCCTTCTAAAACGATAAGTTGTCTCTGTTCCAGCCGCCACTCTGCCCAAGAAGGAGCAAGTGAAGCTTCCTTATTTGTCAGACGTTCGAACCAATAACATCTGAGCTGTCAGAATATTTCAACCATACCATATTTCAACAATACCATTGGGTTGATATAAACATATGTTAGGCCGTATACTTCCGCATGTCACAACACCCTGGGTTATTTCAGTAGAAGAAGTTTATAGCACCAGATATCCTCGTTTCTTCCAAACCTGTTTGGTGTCATAGTCTGCTGTGTTCTACGACAGACTGACATACACGGTCGTAAGTATCATGATTTCTTCAAGACAAATAAGCATAAAAACACGGTACGCGACTATTCCGGAAGTCGTTAATTACACATTGCGCAAGTTCTACTGTGTTGTCATTGGTAAGATTTAGGTCAGCAACTAGAAGCGAAGAAGTCAAGAAGCTCATTTAATGAATGGGGAAGGAAGCTAATGAGAAACACAAAACGTTCCTTATCCGGACAGAGTTGGAATTCGTCTCGCCGCTTTTCTAAGTTGTCGCGTGTAGGTTGCATATTAGTAAAAAACTAGTAGACCGTTTAGTCAACGAACTAAATGGCGGTGATTTTCCTCGGCAGATTTAGTTTCTACTAAGCCACCAAATAGATGTTTAAATGTATTATGTCAAAAGGCACACCTTACTGAAATATAGCTGACCTTGAGAGTGACCTTCACCAGTTTATAATGAAATTAACAGGCATTCAGCGATTGTCATTTTCATCAGTCCAACGAGTTTTTTGTTCTCAATTTATGTGACCATAATTACATCACATGTAGTGCACCCCATTGCACGCATGGTTGGTTACCGATTTGCCAAAAGCCAGCTGCTGAAGTTGACCGAACTCAGGGTAAAAAACTGGGAGTAGAAATCTGCCAGTATTATCAAGCGTGACGGCATGCTAACGAATCACCACAGATACCATTACCTAGATACTTGAAGCTCTAGACGATTTTCGTACATCCTCTCTTGCATCAGCATTTCATAGCGCCAACTTCAGTAACTGACCCATGTGTGGAATTCAAAGGATAGTTTGGCAATATCCCAACAGTTAGCATGCAGAGAGACCGAAGATTGAATGATGAATAGTACTAAAGTGACTTGAACGTTCGCGGCTGCATAGAGAGAGCTGGACTGCTGGTAATCCATCACTAAATGCTTGCTCAGGGAATCTATCCTTCGTGAGACTACGCAAATCGCCATATTATCTAATACTGAGTCGGGAATGCTGAGAAAACTGCACACCTATAAATGAGTGACCGGGCAAAGTAAGTTAGTAGTCTGCACATGATTCTTCCGTTTTCTGCATGTATTACTAACAATATGACTTCGAAACAAATCTACAATAATTGGGACTGTACGGATATTTTTGGGACTTGATCGGTTAATTGTTTGCTGGTCTAGGCAATTCTGCAACAAAAAATTGCCTCCACAAAATAAGATGAAATTACTCTGTCACTTCGGAAGCTTGCGAGATGGCCACACAACTCGACCCATCAAGCAACATTCCTGATATTGCTCTCTTTCTAACTGACAGTTTTCCACGAGGTATCGAATCAAGATCATCTAACAGGCCAGTTAACCTCACAGATGTTTCGCTTACTCTGTAAGTATAATCTATCGGCCTTCCATATTAGACAGCGCAGAATATCTTTACTACATCCCTTCCATATAAAATCCGTTTCCGACTCACCTGCCCCTGCACGATCAGTGTTTACCGGACCAAAGTAGAGCTGATCAATTC